CTTGTCGATGCCCCTCACTCTCAAGTTGATCCCACCAGTCCTGCCAGTGCCCCTCGCTCCTGACCCACAGCCCCCTACCCCCATCCCTCCGGCCCCTCACTTCTCCTTTCACACACTCTGTCCCTGCCCTGGGTGCATCCTGGCCTCTCTCAGCCTGGGTGAGGGGGGTCCTGGCAGCGCCGCAGCCCCGTGCCAAGCGTCTCCCCACGCCCCACAGGTAACAAGTCAGGGAACCGGCGCACAGCAAACATCAAGAGCATCGGCTACTCGGACCTGTTCTGCCTGTCCAAGGAGGACCTGATGGCCACGCTGGCCGAGTTCCCCAGCGCCAAGGCCATGATGGAGGCCAAGGGCCGTGAGATCCTGCTCAAGCTGGACAAGCTGGAGGCCCCCCCGCCCCGGGGAAACTGAGGCATCCTGCCCTTGGCATCCTGGCTCCCAGCACAGGCGCGGACCCCGGGTGTGCTGGGGCGGGGTGGGATGGGGTCACCCGCCGGGGTGGCCAGTGGGGTCCACACCGACACCGCCCCCGCGCCCCGCAGGCTTCCGGGAGGACGGCATCCTGGTGCGGGCGCGGGGCCGCATCGCGCAGCGCTACGCCCGGTCGCGCCAGGCTCTGTGGGATGCGGCCTCGGTGCTGCCCACCGACCTGCTGTACGACCGCACGGAGACGCGCACGGGCCACCCGCACACCTTCCGCATCGCCAAGCTGATGCTCTACGTCTTCGTCACCATCCACTGGAACGCCTGCGCCTACTTCACCCTGTCCGAGTTCCTGGGCCGCGGCAGCGACACCTGGGTGTGCCCCGACGCCGCTCAGCCTGGCTTCGACCGCCTGCGGCGCCAGTACCTCTACAGCTTCTACTTCTCCACGCTGGTGCTGACCACGGTAGGCGACACGCCGGAGCCGCAGCGCCCCGTCGAGATGCTCTTCATGGCCGCTGGCTTCCTGCTGGGCATCATGGGCTTCGCCACCATCATGGGCAGCATCGGCTCGGTCATCTCCACCATGCGCAGCGCCGACGCCGCCTTCTACCCCAACTACGACCTGGTGAAGCACTACTTGCGGCTGCACCGCGTGGGCCGGCGCCTGGAGCGCCGCGTGGGCCGCTGGCACCAGCACCTGCGGCTGGAGAAGAAGCTGACGCACGAAGGCCGCATCCTGCAGCACCTGCCCGAGCGGCTGCGGGCCGAGGTGGCGGTGAGCGTGCACCTGGCCACACTGCGCAAGGTGCAGCTGTTCCAGAGCTGCGAGCGCTCGCTGCTGGAGGAGCTGGTGCTCAGGCTGCAGCCCCAGGTTTACAGCCCCGGCGAGTACGTGTGCCGCAAGGGCGACATCGGCCGTGAGATGTACTTCATCCGCGAGGGGCGCCTGGCCGTGGTGGCCGACGACGGCATCACGCAGTATGCCGTGCTGGGCGAGGGGCTAAGGTGCAGCTGTTCCAGAGCTGCGAGCGCTCGCTGCTGGAGGAGCTGGTGCTCAGGCTGCAGCCCCAGGTTTACAGCCCCGGCGAGTACGTGTGCCGCAAGGGCGACATCGGCCGTGAGATGTACTTCATCCGCGAGGGGCGCCTGGCCGTGGTGGCCGACGACGGCATCACGCAGTATGCCGTGCTGGGCGAGGGGCTGTACTTTGGGGAGATCAGCCTCATCAACATCAAAGGTAACCGCCCCCTGCCCCCC